GCAGCTGAAATTTCTTCCCACAATGAAAAAGACGGCTTGGAGAATCTGATAATCACAGGTCGAATAGAGGGAAAAAGAAGTCTGCTAAGAATATTATAGACCGAGCGTGTAAGTAACGATGAGGTTTTGAAGTGGATGAAAACAAGGAGCTGGCTTATATTTAACATCAGGAAAAGGCAGCTGAAATTTCTAGGAAACAATGAAAAAAGACGGCTTGGAGAATCTGATACTCACAGGTCGAATAGAGGGAAAGAAAGAAGTCTGCTAAGAATATTATAGACCGAGCGTGTAAGTAACGATGAGGTTTTTGAAGTGGATGAAAACAAGGGAGCTGGCTTATATTTAACATCAGGAAAAGGCAGCTGAATTTTCTAGGAAACAATGAAAAAAGATGGCTTGGAGAATCTGATACTCACAGGTCGAATAGAGGGAAAGAAAGAAGTCTGCTAAGGATATCATAGATCGAGCGTGTAAGTAACGATGAGGTTTTGAAGTGGATGAAAACAAGGAGCTGGCTTATATTTAACATCAGGAAAAGGCAGCTGAAATTTCTAGGAAACAATGAAAAAAGACGGCTTGGAGAATCTGATACTCTTTGGTCGAATAGAGGAAAAGAAAGAAGTCTGCTAAGAATATTATAGACCGAGCGTGTAAGTAACGATGAGGTTTTTTTTGAGTGGATGAAAACAAGGAGCTGGCTTATATTTAACATCAGTATGAATTTTCTAGGGAAACAATGAAAAAAAGATGGCTTGGAGAATCTGATACTCACAGGTCGAATAGAGGGAAAGAAAGAAGTCTTCTAAGAATATTATAGACCGAGCGTGTAAGTAACGATGAGGTTTTTGAAGTGGATGAAAACAAGGAGCTGGCTTATATTTAACATCAGGAAAAGGCAGCTGAAATTTCTAGGAAACAATGAAAAAAGATGGCTTGGAGAATCTGATACTCACAGGTCGAATAGAGGGAAAGAAAGAAGTCTGCTAAGAATATTATAGACCGAGCGTGTAAGTAACGATGAGGTTTTGAAGTGGATGAAAACAAGGAGCTGGCTTATATTTAACATCAGGAAAAGGCAGCTGAAATTTCTAGGAAACAATGAAAAAGACGGGATTATGGAGAATCTGATAACAGGTCGAATAGAGGGAAAAAAGAAGTCTGCTAAGAATATTATAGACCGAGCGTGTAAGTAACGATGAGGTTTTTGAAGTGGATGAAAACAAGGAGCTCGATTTAACATCAGGAAAAGGCAGCTGAATTTTCTAGGAAACAATGAAAAAAAGATGGCTTGGAGAATCTGATACTCACAGGTCGAATAGAGGGAAAGAAAGAAGTCTGCTAAGAATATTATAGACCGAGCGTGTAAGTAACGATGAGGTTTTTGAAGTGGATGAAAACAAGGAGCTGGCTTATATTTAACATCAGGAAAAGGCAGCTGAAATTTTCTAGGAAACAATGAAAAAGATGGCTTGAGAATCTGATACTCACAGGTCGAATAGAGGGAAAGAAAGAAGTCTGCAATATTATAGACCGAGCGTGTAAGTAACGATGAGGTTTTTAAGTGGATGAAAACAAGGAGCTGGCTTATATTTAACATCAGGAAAAGGCAGCTGAATTTTTCTAGGAAACAATGAAAAAATTATTTGGAGAATCTGATACTCACAGGTTGAATAGAGGGAAAGAAAGAAGTCTGCTAAGAATATTATAGACCGAGCGTGTAAGTAACGATGAGGTTTTGAAGTGGATGAAAACAAGGAGCTGGCTTATATTTAACATCAGGAAAAGGCAGCTGAAATTTCTAGGAAACAATGAAAAAAGATGGCTTGGAGAATCTGATACTCACAGGTCGAATAGAGGGAAAGAAAGAAGTCTGCTAAGAATATTATAGACCGAGCGTGTAAGTAACGATGAGGTTTTGAAGTGGATGAAAACAAGGAGCTGGCTTATATTTAACATCAGGAAAAGGCAGCTGAATTTTCTAGGAAACAATGAAAAAAGATGGCTTGGAGAATCTGATACTCACAGGTCGAATAGAGGAAAGAAAGAAGTCTGCTAAGAATATTATAGACCGAGCGTGTAAGTAACGATGAGGTTTTGAAGTGGATGAAAACAAGGAGCTGGCTTATATTTAACATCAGGAAAAGGCAGCTGAAATTTCTAGGAAACAATGAAAAAGATGGCTTGGAGAATCTGATACTCACAGGTCGAATAGAGGGAAAGAAAGAAGTCTGCTAAGAATATTATAGACCGAGCGTGTTTTTTGAGTAACGATGAGGTTTTGAAGTGGATGAAAACAAGGAGCTGGCTTATATTTAACATCAGGAAAAGGCAGCTGAAATTTCTGCTAGGAAACAATGAAAAAAGATGGCTTGGAGAATCTGATACTCACAGGTCGAATAGAGGAAAGAAAGAAGTCTGCTAAGAATATTATAGACCGAGCGTATGTAAGTAACGATGAGGTTTTGAAGTGGATGAAAACAAGGAGCTGGCTTATATTTAACATCAGGAAAAGGCAGCTGAAATTTCTAGGAAACAATGAAAAAAACACGGCTTGGAGAATCTGATACTCACAGGTCGAATAGAGGGAAAGAAAGAAGTCTGCTTAGAATATTATAGACCGAGCGTGTAAGTAACGATGAGGTTTTTGAAGTGGATGAAAACAAGGAGCTGGCTTATATTTAACATCAGGAAAAGGCAGCTGAATTTTCTAGGAAACAATGAAAAAAATGATGGCTTGGAGAATCTGATACTCACAGGTCGAATAGAGGGAAAGAAAGAAGTCTGCTAAGAATATTATAGACCGAGCGTGTAAGTAACGATGAGGTTTTGAAGTGGATGAAAACAAGGAGCTGGCTTATATTTAACATCAGGAAAAGGCAGCTGAATTTTCTAGGACACGTAATGAGAAAGTATAACCCATTGAGGTTGATATGCTGTAAAACAAAACAAACCAATCTACAGCCTTTATTAGTTGTTCAGTCTTTTTGGTAGACCTCTTTGTATTTGGAGAAGCTTATTTTGATTTCAAATATTGTTTGGAATGCCGTATTGATTCTTTATATTCCGCTTTTTGCAATAACGTTTATAATACAATAACGTTTTGTAAAGTATTCTTGTCATCCACAACATCAGCCTTATTACTTTGTCTAGGTTGCTATCCAATGTCTGAGTCTCTGTGAATGAAATTTCTGTCCGCTCAGTGTCCGCGAATTTTCTCTTTGTCAGCCTCTTGATTTTTTTTTTTTTTTTTTTTTTGTTTTGTCTAAATCCTTACTTTCTAGTATGGCGATGAAAACGTAATCGGCTCCAATGATGCGTCTATGCCAATTCAAATTTCTCTTCTTGGCGGTGGTTGGGAGTTCTTACAATTGACCTGATTCTTAGTGTCTCACACTACGTAATTATTGGCGCGGTCAGTGTAAAAGCTGCTGAAGACGGTTCTGAAGAATCTTATTTGAAATTCTTGCATTCTTCGCTCTAATTCTAATTTTAATGTCCAGAATTCGCAGGCGTACAAAAAGATTTAGAAAAAAAAATAATTCCATTGTACACAACTATCTGATCTCTGATCACAGGTAGATGTAGTTGTCTTTACAGATGTTTGATTTTTTTTTTTTTTGGGGGGTGGCAACAGATGTCATTGTCTGTGATTGTCTCGAATTTAATTATATTCTGGATCTGATAATCGAGACAAGATATTTGAACTGACTCCCTATTTGAAGTTCCTCGCTACCGTCTATTCTCTTGCTTGAAAGGCACTTCTCCCTGTTACATAGAGGAAGGGTTAATACATAAGTGTAAAACAAAAAAAAAATAATAAATGGTAACTCATATATAAGGGAGGTACGGTGGAGATAGCGGCTCGGATTGAGGAATCGGAGAGCCGAGTTCGAATTCTTTTACGTACTAATACCCTTGGGAAAGGTATGAATCTTTTTCTAAACAGCTATGGGTCAATAGCAGGATATACCATGTTTTATAGCTTTGGATGGCAGCTGGCCTACCACAGAAAGAAATGGCAAACTATTTCGGTAAAAAAAAAAAATCTGCCTCGTCAGCCTATCGGAAGATACATGATCGCCTAAGCGTGTATCACGCAAGACACATAACTTACCTGACTGAACATTATTATATTATTCGGTTTGCTTTATTTCCATTAACGTGAAGCAAATTCAGTATAAGCTATGTAGTACAGTGGATACTCTAATGAGGGTGACAGCCATTTCTTGTTCCATATCTATTGTGTACGTTTAGAATGGATTTGTGTGTCTGCGTGTATGTGCCTGTGTGTGTGTGTGTGTGTGTGTGTGTGTGTGTGTGTGTGTGTGTGTGTCGTATAATGCATTTTGTTCGCAGAGGCACAAAATTTTAATACATTCATAGCAGAAGTGTTGTGCTCATGGCAAAATAACTGAAATGTGTCCAACGCTCTTCAACTCTCTTTTTTGAAATGGTTTTCCCTTCCCAAGACTTGCTGTCTCCTCAAGGCAATATAGCCCACTCTACCCTGCTATTTAACCCAATAACTGAAGGAAGACGTATTCATGCCTTTTTTCTCCGAATGGAATTAACGCAAAGTGACGAAACAGAATCAAACAAGAATTGAAACCGGGACACCACCTAATTCACTATCGACGCCTCCCTTGCCGAAGCAACAAAAACAACAGGTTTCGTTGTCCTATCTGGTACATCTCTATCAATAACACATTATATGAAGATGATGTTTGTCTTCCTGTGGAGTTACGATTGGGTTTTATTTCTCTAAGGAAGAAACCAAGAACATAAATTGCTTCGTTGATTGAAATCCAGTACTGTAATGGCATCTTCGATAGCTTATTTTTTCCCTGTATTTATATCTGGGTAAACGATGGAAAGTTTAGTGGACGTTTGTTTCAAAAGTAAATTATTTCTTTCGCAATAAAATTCAATTACTTGCGGTTCGTCATGGTGTTGCCGGTAATGCAAGTCTTATTGTGGCTACCTTTGGTATAACTTCTAAGATGGCGGAGATCGAAGATATGGTAAAATGGCGGCAAAAATTAATGTGAGAGGGAAAATAATAAGATGGCGGTGAATTCACCACAGCAAACTTCTTCGTTTTTCTTTTATATTTTTTTTCATTTTTTTTTTCTTTTTTGTCCGTTTTCATTTGCGACGAATATTTTGTAAATGATTGCGTGAATATGAAACACACTCATGATATATTCTATATTTGTATGTGCTTTTATTTTTTTTTTTACGCATACATACATATATATATATATATATATATATATATATATATATATATATATATATATATATATATATATATATTTTTTTTTTTCTTTTTCGAAACTTATTTCGTTCTTTCTATGACTTTATTTCTTGTTTTGCGTCGTCTGCGCCCGAGGTACCGTGGGACAAGATTATGTTTTCCCCGGTACAACTCGATTTGTACGAGAGGTATTTCAGATTGTTCCTGCCTCTGGAAGCGCCCTTATCATCAATTGTCTCATTTTATACATGATTTCCCAGAAGAGCAGGGACTTTGACAATTCTACCACAAGACAACAATCTTCTTTCTCCTACTTTTTCGTTTTTTCGTATTATTTTTATATATATATATTTTTTTTTCGTGTTTCTGTATGTTTTCGTTCGTTCTTCTCCTGTTTGGGTTCATGCTTACCGCTTTGCTTTATGTTTCTGAGGTATAGCCATTTGGTCTTCTTTACGAAATCTTTCTTTTTCCCCTTGTATTTTTCTTTTTCTTCATCTTTCTTTTTCTCGTTTTTCTTTCTTTCTGTGATCTTTTCTTTCTTTTTGCATTAAACCTGTTTCTTAGCGTTTCCTTTCCTTTTTCTTTTCGCTAATATAATTCCTTTCATTTCCTCTATTTTTCTTCTTCTTTTTCTAACTGCTTTCTTTTTACTTCGTTTTGTCTTTCTTTCTTTCTTTTTTTTCTTTATTTCCCACTCTATTTTGGCAACTTACTATTTGTTTCTTTACTTATAAGTAATCTTACTTTCTCACTTTTTTTTTTTCGTTTTCATTCATTCTATTTTTCTTTTTATATCTTTCTTTCTTTTCTGGTACATTTTTCTTCTTATGCTTCATTACTTTCCTAATATTTTTTCTTTTCTCTTCTTCCTTTGTTCCCATCTATTTCCATTTCATTCATTTATACTTTAGCATGTCTTTCTTTCTTTCTTTCTTTCTTTCTTTCTTTCTTTCTTTCTTTCTTTCTTTTAGCCTTTAGGTTTTTATCATTTGTCTTTATTTTCTATAATAATTCCCACTCTCTCTTTTTTTGTATTTTTACGTTTTCCTTCTTCCCTTGTGTCTTTCTTTCTTTCTTTCTTTCTTTCTTTCTTTCTTTCTTTCTTTCTTTTAGCCATTAGTTTTTTATCTGTTTTCTTTATTTTCTATAATAATTCCCACTCTCTCTTTTTTAGTATATTTATGTTTTCCTTCTTTCTTTCTTTCTTTCTTTCTTTCTTTCTTTCTTTCTTTCTTTCTTTCTTTCTTTCTTTCTTTCTTTCTTTCTTTCTTTCTTTTAGCCTTTAGTTTTTTATCTTTCTTTATTTCTATAATAATTCCCACTCTCTCTTTTTTAGTATATTTATGTTTTCCTTCTTTCTTTCTTTCTTTCTTTCTTTCTTTCTTTCTTTCTTTCTTTCTTTCTTTCTTTCTTTTTTTAGCCTTTAGGTTTTTATCATTTGTCTTTATTTTCTATAATAATTCCCACTCTCTCTTTTTTTGTATTTTTACGTTTTCCTTCTTCCCTTGTGTCTTTCTTTCTTTCTTTCTTTCTTTCTTTCTTTCTTTCTTTCTTTTAGCCATTAGTTTTTTATCTGTTTTCTTTATTTTCTATAATAATTCCCACTCTCTCTTTTTTAGTATATTTATGTTTTCCTTCTTTCTTTCTTTCTTTCTTTCTTTCTTTCTTTCTTTCTCTCTTTCTTTCTTTCTTTCTTTCTTTTAGCCTTTAGTTTTTTATCTTTCTTTATTTCTATAATAATTCCCACTCTCTCTTTTTTAGTATATTTATGTTTTCCTTCTTTCTTTCTTTCTTTCTTTCTTTCTTTCTTTCTCTCTTTCTTTCTTTCTTTCTTTTAGCCTTCTTTCACTTCGATTTCCACTTACTTAATTTTCTCTTATTTTTTTTAATCTCATTCTCATTTTTTCTTTGTTTCCTGCTATCTTAAGTTATTTTTTTTCCTTTTCTTTTTTCTTTGTCGGAACTAAATCTTAATCTCTCTTTTTCTTTCTGTCTTTCTTTCTTTCTTTCTTTATTTATTTTTAAAAATGTTTGTTCCTTTTTCATTCTTTCTTTTTTTCTTTCTTTCTTTCTATATGTTTTCACCTTTTCCTTTTCTTATATTGCCGTCTTGTGTTCTCTTCTTTCTTTTCTTTCTCGTCTGTTACTTTACACTTCTTTTTCTACTCATATTTCTTTTTTCTTTTTCTTTTTCTTTAATTTCTTCGCATTTTTCTTCATTCCAATAAATCCTTCTTTATTACCTGTTCATCCTTCTTCTTCAATTTACATTCTTTCTCGTTCTCCCTTTGTCATTTCTTGCTTTTTCTCGCCCTTCTTTCTACCTTTTCATTCTTCCTTCCTTTCGTCTTGTCTGCTTTATACCAGTTCTTCTCTTAAACCGTTTCTAAGTTGTTATTTTTTTTTGAATTCTTCATTCTTTCTTTTCTCCCGTTTTTGCTTTTGCCTTTCTTCCAGTCCACCATTTTTAAAAAAAAACATTCGCTTTAACCGCTATATCCTTTCATTCATTCTTACTTTTTTTTAGATTGGTAAATTTGCATTCATAAACGTACTTCCGTTTAACTTTCTTTAAATTTAACATTTCATTCCTTTCTTTTGTTTTGTTTATTTTCCTTTCTTTCTTTCTTTCTTTCTTTCTTTCTTTCTTTCTTTCTTTTTATTTCCTTGACTTTTTCAGTTTCGTTTTCTTTCCATTATACTTTTATTTCACTTTTTCCTTTCTTCTGTTTTTCACTTTTTCTTCTTCTATTTCTTTATTCCTTTCTTCTTCTATTTCTTCATCGTCTTCTTCCCCTTGTTCGCTGATTTATTTTTTCTTCATCATGTCTGTCTTTCGTTTTGTTTATTTTTTTTTCGTTTGATTCAGCTGCCATCGAATTTCTTTTTTTTCCACTTGCTTGTACTTTTTCAATATCTTCTTTTTCTTTTTCTTTTTCTTTATTTCCCCCGTTCGATCTCCTTTTTTTCTTTCTTTCAAATAAATCAATTCACCCCAAGTAAGGTGATAATGGCACTAAGATGCAAGAGATTACTGGGAGTAAAAGAGAATGAGAAAGACTTTAGAAGCTTTCTTCTTCTTTCCGTTCTTCTTTTTCTTTTTCTCTTTCTTTCATATTCCTTCCTTTTACTTACTTTTCGTTTTCTTTCCACCGTCTTTTTGTTTACTTTTTCCTTTTTTTCCATTTTTTCTCTTTTTTTCCTTTTGTTATTTTTTCTGCTTCTTGTTGTTGTTGTTGTTGTTCTTCTTCTTCTTCTTCTTCTTCTTCTTCTTCTTCTTCTTCTTCTTCTTCTTCTTCTTCTTCTTTTTCTTCTGCAATCTCTGCCTCTTCTCCGATTTCTTCTTCACTTTTCTTCTTAGATTTTTGCTTCTCCTCCTTATCTTCGATTTCCACTTCAAGTATTTCTTCTTCTTCTTCTTCTTCTTCTTCTTCTTCTTCTTCTTCTTTGATATTATTTCTCCTCTATCTTTCACAAATTTTCTTCTATTTTCTTTATCTTTTGATCTTACTGCTTTCTCTGTTATTACGTTTCTCCGTTATGTGTATATATATATATATATATGTGTGTGTGTGTGTGTTTGTGTGAGTGTGTGTAATCAAAAGGATAAATATAAGTAAATGTATGAACGAGCGAAGGTTTATAAATACATATTTATATATACTTTATAGTGTAAGAAAAAACAGTGCTCAATATTGAATAACAGAGCTATCTAATATATATATATATATATATATATATATATATATATATATATATATATATATATATATATATATCATTCCGTTAATTATTGCCGTTCTTTAAAATTTCATGCGTTTTCCTTTATCGTTAGGGGCTTATTTTATTTGATTAATGCTTCTTTCTCTTTCTTTCTTTCTTTCTTTCTTTCTTTCTTGCTTCTTGCTTGCTTGCTTTCTTTCTTCTTTCTCTATTGGTTTATTTCTTTCTTGCTTTCTTTCTTTTTTTTTTTTTCTCTTGCTTGCTTTCTTCCTTCTTTCTCTCTTGGTTTCTTTCTTGCTTTCTTTCTTTCTTTCTTTCTTCATCTTCTTCCCTTCTATTTGTTTCTCGTTATTTACACATTTATTGTCTTTCGCTATTGGATTATTTTTCCTTATTCTTTATACCATTGTCTTTCTTCCTTAATCGTTTTCGCCTGCTCCTCCCTTTTCTTCACATTTACATATCTTCCTCCTTCCTTTCGATACGCCAACAAACTCTTGTTTATACACTATTTCTCTCTCTCTCTCTCTCTCTCTCTCTCTCTCTCTCTCTCTTCGTTCTAATCTATGAACAGCAAAAACAGTAGATACATGTCAGGAGACACGAGAAAACACAATGTTTCGAATCAGTAACTTCAGAGAAGTCAAAATTAAAGCCTTTAGCAGACGATATTTTTTGCCTTTCATTTTCCTCCATTTTTTTATCTATCCTTTTGCGTTTGCTTTTTCTTTTCTTTTCTTTTTTTTTTACCTTGTGACCATACACTTGAGATTCCTTTCAACTATCATTATATTCCAAATGTTCTTTGAATACTTAGCTCCATCAGAGAAAGTTCTTTTTTTTTCTCCGCCAAATATTCCAGGAAGTATATATGGAACTCTTTTTTTTTTCAAACTAATTTGCTAATATGGCCTGATAGTTTGAAGCTGGGGTATACATTTGCCAAGGGTCGAGAGTTCAAGCCTGGCTTGAGGTACTTGGTGCAAATTAGACTTAAATTACCAAAGCAGTGTCTCTGTGGATTTACTACTTAGTGGATAAGAACTTCGTGTTGATGATAAATGTTTCGGAAGTCACGAGTAAGAGCAATGAACTAAAGCAGTTGCAAAAATTAGTTGGATGCCAAATACGCCATTGCCGACATATTTGCATTGAGTTTTTTGGGGTTTTTTTTTAATCCTAAACTTGACATAATAGAAATCTCGAGAGCCATTCAAGGTAGGGGTAATTTTGTTTTGTAATTTATTAATTATTTTCACTTAATACAAGGCCAAAGAGCCACTCAAGGTAGAGGATTACTAAATAAAGTTGTTGTATAAAAGTAAAAGATGGAGATAAAACGTGCAGATTATGACGATATCTAGAATACATAACGTTGCTCTTGGACGTGAAGATGTGAAGATTCCAGCGACAGAGAAACATCCATTCGAGTGCCTGTTGCCTAAAAGTAGCGGTTCTTGGGAACTAGCCGACCGAAATGCGTCGTTAATAAATTTTCCATTTTGTCTCATCAACTTCACTTTTGTTTTCTAATATATTATAGAACTTCTAAATACACAAATATACATCGATTAATGAGTATTCGTCTAATGCGGTTTCGATTCGTGCGGTAAAGTTTTTAGAGACCAAATCTCGATTGGTGCATATATAATACTCGATTAGTTCGATTAAATATTCTTCAATTTAACCATAGTAATTGAAAAATGATTTTTTTTTAATAGTTCTCGATATACACATTTGCCACCCCAATCGAGGGATTTCTGTACTTATTAAATCGATTTTAATCCGGGTTAAGGATTAAGATCGAATAACATAAATATAAACCGGATTATATTCGATCTTAATCCTTAAATATTAAATTATGATATCAATCTTAAAACTTGTTCCCGTTTTCCTGAAACTTTTGCTCATATATTCAATCTATGATATAGACTTCTTTTCTCATTATGTGTCCTAGAATTCCCAACTGTCTCTTCTGAAAGAGCCGACCGAAATGTGGCAACAGTCATGTGGTTCTACAGAAGCATGATGAGAATGCCATGGACTGAACATTTAAACTTAACTTCAGAAAGTGTTCTTTTTTGTTCGAAATTCCTTAAGATTTCGTCGTTGCCCATATATTCAGTCCATGGCATTCTCATCATGCTTCTGTAGAACCACATGACTGTTGCCTCAAGTCTATACTTCATCTGTGGTGAGATTATCCAGCATTCACTGTCATACAGGAGGATAGACAACGCATAACTGCTAATAACTCTTTTATTTGTTTCTAAAGAATTTTTTCCTTCTGTTTCTTAATACAAGAATCCCTCGATTAATGCGCATTCGATTATTGCGTTTTCGGTTAGTGCGCTAAAATATTTATATACCAAAATTCGATTAGTGCATACATAATATAGGATTATTTGCTTCTCTTGTATTATAATCCTTTCGGTGGGCTTGTAGATAACTTGAAGGCGCTCATCTCGTCACTGTCAAACGGAGAAAAATGTCGTGGTTTGGACTCATTACAAGGCAAGACGATCACTGAAGGCAGCGTTAAAGGTGGACGTCATAGAGAACACCGACGCAAAAACTGATTGGACAATGTCAATCAATTGGCAGGTAATGTCCGTAAAAGAATTGCTGATGGCTGCCGTTGCCGCTGTGGGAAAGTCTTAGTGTGGATTCTACATTCGGATTGATTAGAAAAGTCAAGATGATGATGATTATGATGATGATTATGATGATTATGATGATGAATATTGGTAAAACATTCTTCAGTTTAACTGTAGTGATTGAAAATAGATTTTTTTTATAGTTGCTGATTAATTAAAAAAATTTAACATTAAAAAAATGGAAAACGAGGAACTATTCGCATTTATTTAAATTCAGTTGATGCGTTTTCCATTAATACGTATATTCCCGCACACACACACTCTCTCTCTCTCTCTCTCTCTCTCTCTCTCTCTCTCTCTCTGTATATATTATTGGTCTCTCTCTATCTATCTATCTATTTAGCCATTTTCAAGGATTAAATATGTCAACTTTTAAATAAAAAATAGTTTGTTGTATGTATATTTTATAAAATGTTTTCATTTTTCAAAACACGGTCAAGATATTATGCCCATGTTCAAAGTTAATATTATTAAGTGTGTTTTTTTTGTTGTTGTTGTTTTTATTAATTAGGCTTCCATTAAAATATTTAATCCTTGAAAATGGCTAAATGTATTGCCGAAATCGCTCGGGTAAAAAGAATATTCGGGCAGTTTTTATACAATTTATCACCCGAAAAGAAAAAAATTATTAGATCGCATGAGAAATTATATAAAAAAACTAAATAAAAGCAACTTGTCTGAAGTATTCAATGAAATGTGCACACACACACAAATACACACAAACACACACACACACACACATGTCAAAATTTTAAATTTAATGTTTATTTTTTATAAAAGGTTTCGCACAGCGAGGAATCAGACAGAGATCGGTTTTTTACTAACAATATGATTTCCACCAGGAAATACAGCATCTACAAAAACATCTGTCGGTGAATAATTCCAATTTCTATGTTTATTTCTTGCTCTTTTGATGAAGGGAAACAAAAGAAAGAAAATTCCAACTTACAACCTTTCTTTTCTGGTATTATAACTTTGTTTTCAACCATTACGCAGTCTTCAGGGTGCTGAATTTGAACACCGTTAAACAATTTAAATGCTACCTGTATTATATATATATATATATATATATATATATATATATATATATATATATATATATATATATATATATATTACAATATTTCTATATATATATATATATATATATATAATACATCAATATTATAATATATATATATATTTATGTATATATATATATATTGATGATATAATGTCATTTATAAATTATATAAATATATGATATATATATATATATATATATAAATTATATAAATATATATATATATATATATATATATTGATATAAATAAAGTGGTAATTATATAAAAATATCTCTTCAAAATGACATATATATATATATATATATATATATATATATATATATATATATATATATATATAAAAATTCAAGAGGATAGAATTCAGGTAGAACTTAATGTCCAGGACAGAGTAAGAATATAATATAAAAGGCTCAAACACTAATATTCCATGGTCATAATTTATTACATTGGAATCGTAATCACGATCCAATTCAACAGATCTACAAATTCAAAAAAAATTCAATATATATATATATATGTATAGTAAAGGTAACACATCTGTTTGTATAATATCCAAGTGGATCCTAGTAATATAGAATATTAAGACTGATCCACTAACAGAGCTCAATGTATTTATTAATGCAGAGAAATACAATTAACAAACAAAAAAAATCCACAATTAGCTCTCTAGCGAGATAGCCTATTTCGGCAGTTGAAGATATCGGGCGTCTGTCTTATTCCCCTTAAAAATTCGCTTGAAGATGGAACAGACCTCGGTTCTTTAATTCAATTTAATTCAAATAATTATGCTGTAGTTTTGGCTCTTGTTTTGAAACATTAGAATTCTTATGTAGCGATGGAATCATATTTTTAAATATATATATATATATATATATATATATATATATATATATATATATATAAACAATAAAATCCAAAATTACCTGATATAGGGAATAGTCTTATTCGGCCGACGAAGATATCGGTTGTCTGTCTTATCAGCCCCGGTGTGGAATGAATTCGTCTATATACAGTTAAGGGCGGGAAATGTAATTTAACTGTGAAAGTTAAAAAAATCAACCTGTCGAAAAACCAATACAGAATTTAGCCATTTCAATGTTTCAGTCAGACCAAAGGCACTAGACAGGAGAGAGTGGAATGTATTTGTCTTAAAGGAAAGAAGTTTCATAAAACTAAACACAAATATTAACCTCATGACATTAATTTGGAGTTATATGAAGAATGAAATATTAATCTAAAAAAAGGATTAAAAACGGGTGTAAATATAAATTTAAAATATATAGTTAAAAGAGGTAAGGGATTAATGGAAAGAAAATTGAGGAGATATGAAAACAGGGAAAAGTTTATAAATTATAATATAGTGTAAAGAGATTATAGAGGTGGAAATAAGATACAGAAATTAGAATTAGTTATACTCTCGAGATTTGAAGAGATAGAGGGGAGTGATTATGGAAATACTGTAGCTAATTAAGTTAAACCTATATTATAGAAATTTGAATTTGTTTTTATGTCGACATTTTAACACTATTTTTTTACTCTAATTCAATAGTTGGTTTTGATTATTGTATTTTATTATTCTAATTTTTTTCTTCTAAACACAAGTCACGCCTATCTGTAAGACTATTAGGAGGACGTGCGGAACCTATCATTTTTCAAATTATCTGTGGGTTCAAACCTTTCTTCTTCTATTCTCAAAATTGTTTTTGAAAGTTCTGTCTGGTGTTTTAGCTCAAGGTTAGGAAATTAGTGCCAATGGATATAAAATCTCTGTTTTCGTAGGCATAGGAACCTGTGTTTCAACGTGATTTGGTCGTTGAAATAGATAGATAGATAGATAGATAGATAGATAGATAGGAACAGACTGAAATAGATAGATAGATAGATGAATGGATAGATAGATAGATAGATAGATAGAGATATGAACAGACTGAGATAGATAGATAGATATAGATAGATAGATAGATAGATAGATTTGATATGAACAGACTGAGATAGATAGATAGATAGATAGATAGATAGATGAATAGATAGATAGATAGATAGATAGATATATATGAACAGACAAAAAAAGAAAGAAAGAAAAGAAAGAAATGAACAGACTTTCCGATTTTTTTTGATAGATAGATAGATAGATAGATAGATAGATAGATAGATAGATAGATAGATCGATATGAACAGACTGAGATAGATAGATAGATAGATAGATAGATAGATAGATAGATAGATAGATAGATATTAACAGACTAGAGAGATGGAAAGAAAGAAAGAAAGGAACAGGTTGATATATATATATATATATATATATATATATATATATATATATATAGATAGATAGATAGATAGAGATAGAAATTGAATAGACTTGGAAAGAAAGAAAGAAAGAAAGAAAGAAAGAAAGAAAGAAATGAATAGACTGAGATAGATAGATAGATAGATAGATAGATAGATAGATAGATAGATAGATTTCAGTTTTATCTTTTAAGTTCTTTCATCATTTGTCGGCCAAAATGCTTTTTTGTCAGTAGTCAAGATTGTTTTAAAAATCCATGAATATCAACCCCCCCGCCACAAAGAATATATTTATCTACGTAAAAGAGCTTTCAGAAAGATTGATATCAAAAAGCTCGAAAATCCAAGTAAACGTGGCAATATTATCGAACGAGATTTGAAACGAGAATCACTTTCTGAAAGACAAAAAAGAAATCAAATGTTTTATTTAATCCAATGACATTTATCTGATCGAGCTGAATATATACTGGAAAAGCTTACTTCTGAAAAGATTATTTATTTGTTTGTGTATGTCTTTGGTATTTTATTTTCATATTCAAACATCTTCGTCTCTTTCAAGATATTATAATACGGTGTAATATGTAATAAAATAATGATTAAATCGCATCATCGCTAGTCCCCGGGCAGGTGTTTAGAACTTCTGCTTGAGAATTTGCAAATCGCATTTGGAAGTTCTAAACAAAATATTTCAGTGTGAACAGAGACCAGCTGATGGCAGTGAGTTTCTTTTCTTTTCTTTTTCTTTTTCTTTTTCTTTTTCTTTTCTTTTTTTTTAATTATCATTTATTCGCTTTTTATTTTTGTTGTTGTTGTTGCTGCTGTTGTTGTGCTTTCTTTTCCGAAAATTGTTTTTGGATGCATGACGAGACATTAAATCAATTATATCGTATACAGACTCAACGTCATGAAGACATCGATGAAATCCTCTATTCGAAATGCGATCAGAAGTCGTTTGATATGAACGGAACTTTATTCTGTGGAAAGATACACCGGTTCGGCGGAGAGACAGGTAGAAATTTTGGGTACCGATTAAATAAAATTTCATCAAAAGTACAACGGCATGCCAGATAAAAAACAACTAAATAGACCCTATTTATATTATCGAACTATTTCTATATTTCTGAGATGAAGTATTATGTACATTATTTACATTATTCGGACTATTGTCCTCATCTATGTCACCATATTTATTACACCATTTCGGCTCTTCAGTATATGTCTATATTTCTGAGATGATGTATTATGTACACTATTTACATTATTCTGACTATTGTCCTCATCTTTGTCATCATATGTATTACAACATTTCGGCCTTTCAGTATCTGTCTATATTTCTGAGATGATGTATTATGTACACTGTGACGTCGTCCCCCCTGGTCGCAGCGTCGACTGTATCGTTCGATCCCGTTCGCGACGCCAGCTGTTCGCTCCTCGCTGCTCCAAGTGTGACGTTCTAACCCTTTGGTTAGATGAATACCAGCCTCGTCGTTCCCAACCCGCTTCCAACGCCTGGTTACTATGGTAACTGCACTGATCTCCGGTCTGCCTACCCACGTTGTGATTAGATCTTAGACAGACGGGATCAAACAGGGATTGGGGCCGTATGCAAGCTGAGTCCAACGGGGTGATAACACACAAGAAAAAAAAAAAAAAAAAACACAAGGTCAAAAATTATTGAAGAAAAAGGTAACAACTTTTTATATCTAAATTGTTCGTTACACAAGATTATTCCTACCTCCCGACCCGTTCTGTGGACCGTGGCACCAAGCTTCTACCATACAACTTTAAGGCTTCGAGTTGCCTGCTCTCTAGAAATTTGCATTTCGGGGTGTGGTTTGGTTTCGACACTGGGCGCTGATCTCTACCTGTCGTTCACGGCTGATTTCTCTCGCCGTCCGTGGCTGCAACTAACTCTCTCTTCAGAGTCTGAATTATTGTTCACTCATCTCTGCCGTCAGTGCGCGAATTAACTTCTTCTCTTCGGCTTCGGTTGGACGAGCTTATTCACTTCGACTTGGGTTGGACGAATTTCTTCTTAGGCCAAACGGACCGCGACTTGGGTTTCTTGCCGCAAAGGCGACGAATGAACTTAGGCCCGCCGTCCGGTTTGTTGTCCAACTTCTCCGTCCGCGCCAACTCCACGCCGTCCGCTGCAACTAACTCTCTCTTCAGAGTCTGAATTATTGCCGCATCTCTGCCGTCATGAACAACTTCCTTCGGCTTCGGTCCGACGAGCTTATTCACTTCAACTTAGGTTGGGCGAATTTCTTCACTTCGGCGGCGAATTTATTCAACTTGGGTTGGACGAATTTCTCCACTTCGACTTGGGTTGGGCCAAAGGACCGGCCTTTTTGCCCGCAAAGGGGCGAATGAACCGGGCCCGCAGCCCGCGCTCAAACTCCCTCTTCATCCGCGGCGCAGCTCCAACTGATTTCTGTCGGTTGGGGTCCCGCTTTTATTGACGCCGTCAAAAACTGGGGTGGGTCTGTCGGCGCCAGGGTTTTCTTGATAATTCCTAAAGACGTATTATTTCTGATTAGGGATTTTCCATTGTCGGTAACTTACTTTCACTCCTTTCCCGGGGAGGGGCGTAAACCCGCTTCCCTGGTCCTTCGTATGTCATGTGACCGCTCTCGACCAATGGGGTCCTGGTCGGGCATCTTTCCTCCTCCCTCGCACATCACGTGACCGCCCTCCGCCAATGGGGCTCTGGTCGGGTGTCTTTCCCTCCTCCTTCATGTATCATGTGACCGCCCTCGGCCAATGAGGCTCTGGTCGGTATCTTTCCTCCTTCCTTCGTGACGTCTTTAATCGGGCGTGGACAATCCGTGGCTTTGTTCTGGGGGTGGGGAAACACCTTGCTTAAAAAAAAAAAATTTAAACCGTCCCCCTTTATGTATGTGACCGAAATGACGATCCCGGTTTTTTTTTTTACGCGGTATCTGTCAAACAGTTTATCGCTTAATTGGATACGATCTAAGAAAGGTATTTCCCTGACTGAAAGAGAATTTCTGAACGCAACAAAAATTTCATTCTCTTTCCGGCCGATAAGAAAAATTGAATTCCATGATGAAGAAATATGATGGAATAGATTAAGTTCTTTCAATTCTGGTATCGTAACTGAAGGTTCTTGTATTAATTCTTTGTTTTCATATCCTTAGAAGACTGAAAGAATCTGTTGAATTCATCTGAATGAAAAACTTTTCAATTTCAAACTTATCAATATTTTTTTTTCATTGTCCCTAAAATTTTTGTTTCTTCAACCAAATTGATTTTAATCATGCATCTATTTAGCGAGTCTACTGGTTGAGTTCTAAAAAGAAACTAGATTGTTACCTCTAATATTTTGAAATCAACATAGTGACCTCTTCACACACACACACACACGCCCACACACACCTGGTTTCGTATTATATATATATATATATATATTTATATTTTATATCCTTTTCTTTCTATATATATAGATCGTCTGAACAGTATTAAATATATATTCCAAAATTCCCCGAAATATTTTTTTTTCTCAATGTAAACAAACCGAGCAAAAATAAATAAATATTAATGATTTAATATATTCAGTTTTAATTATGCATGAATGCCAAAACTTCAAAACGTACCGAACCTAAAAACTCCAAATTTAAATATATAATTAAATTAAAAATATTAGTTCTTTTTTTATCTTCAAGCAAAATATTGCGGTCAGAAATCTAAATATAATATATATATATATATATATATATATATATATATATATTTTTATATATATATATGTGGGGTGGGGGATATATATATATATTGACAATTTGTACATTTTATATATCAAGATCAATAAATCTAAAGAAAGGTGGAAAACTCAAACATTGCGTATCGTTTCAAACATTAGGACGTTGTAAGTTGGTGTCGACTACACATTTAAAAAAAGGCAATGTGTGAACAGAAAAATGTTTTATCAAACATTTATTTTTTCAAATATATGTTTTGAAATACAGTCATTATTTTTTTTTAAACGGGAAAATAACAATTTATAAATTTCCATCAGTTTTGTTATTAGATATCCCGTATTTCTGATAATAGAAGATACGCCAAGATATCTTATATATATATATATATATATTTATTATAATAAATATAAATATATATATATATATAAAGCTCTACGTTTTTTCATTGTAATTTCTTTTATTTATAAAAAAATAAAACATATTTTTTTTTTAAATTTTGTACCCAACGTGTTTCTTTTCTATTTTCCGTCTTCAGGTAAAATTATATATATTTATATATATATATATAAAAATAATTATATTTTTTATATATGTTTTTATTTGTTAATTTTTTTGAAAATTTGTAAAAATTTTTACATAAGTTAAAATAAACACATTTATTGATTTACACACCATCCCACCAAAGGATATATATATATATATACACACACACATATATATATACATATATATACTATTTCCAATTTCAATTGGAACCAGTATACACAATTTTCACATGACACAGACATACACACACATATTCACATCACACACACACACTTGTACTTCCTAAGTTGTGTGAACTTTTAGAAACCGGACCTCGTGAGTAGTTCCCCTGTTTTGTCAACATGAAAATATATATATATATATAAATGTGTGTATACATATATATATATATATATATATATCCTCGTGTTTCCATGTATATATGTTCGTGCCCATGTATTCTTCTTTCATCATTGTATTTGTTTTTGTGTGCAAAAATGTGTGTGTTTGAATTTTTCACTTATTTTTCTCACAGTTCATTTCTATATAATATATATTTATATATATATATATATATATGTATATATATATATATCAAATATGATTAAAGTGATATAAAAAAATTTAGCTGTCTTATAAAATTTTAAGCTTTAATTTCTGGTCGAAAACTCTTTCAAAATAAATCACATTCTTAAAGAATCTCCCTCTCAGATCTTTTTATGGTTCTAGAACCCTTTGTCTTCTCATTTGTCTCCGATAATGGCGTTCCAGACATTTGCGTCCTTGGATATTTGCGTCCCTAGACAAGTGCGGCCCTGGATAATTGTGTACATTTGATAATTTTGGGGAGCTTTAAACGCAATAATGATAAATTTTGAAAAAAAAAGCATTAGTCATAACAAATTTTTAAAAAGGAATAAAATTTTTAAAAAATTAGAAGTTTATTTTTGTTTAAAATGCATCAACAGATTAACAGTCTTGCTAGATCCCTCTTCACACCACCAGTCTATTTTTATTTATCATATTATTCTTATTTTTTAGCTATGATTTTCTCATGTTTACAAATATTTTTCCAAAACCATTTTCGAACTTATTAAATTCAAAATAAAAAAATTCTGATTTATAAAATCCAGAATCTATTAGATGTTTGTGGTCTGCACTGCTGGAAGGAACTGAAACTTTTAAACCAAAAATTTATTAAAGACTCTTTTTCTTTTTGGAGCATTTTTTTTTCTTAAATAAAAAATAAAATATCTACATATTTGATTCTTCTTTCTCTCTCTCTCTCTCTCTTCTTTCTCTCTCTCTCTCTTCTATATATATATATATATATCTATCTATATATATTCTATATATATAT